GTAGACGGTGGTCACCCCCTCAGTGGACGCGGGAGAACATCAAGGCCTGTCCAAAGAATCTGCCGGTGAAAGGGGCTGCCGGTGAAAGGGGCCGCTGCGCTGAGCACTGGCGGCGCTGGCGGTTGCAAGACCGACCCCGTTCGCGCGATCCGGAATAACACATCGAGGTCAAGCTGTTGAACAGATTGGTTGATGATGATGAGTGAGATGAAACTAACCAGATCAAAATGCAACCAATCAACCAATCAATCAATGAGATGAACAAATGAAACCAATGCATCTTTAGATCGAATGCAACTAACAAGCCGGCTGGGCCGACTAGCCTGATATGCTGGTATTCAAAAAACGATGACACGAAGCTGTTGAGCTCAAGTCCTGTGTATTCATGTGTATTGCTCCTATAGGCGATATAGGAGTAACCGCCATGTCACCCATTCTCATCTCGGACGTCTGCGACCCTGGGGACCCGCACGGGGAACGAGGGGGAGTCCGTTTCCTCTTCTTGGCGCTCCACAGTGGAGAAGTCAAAGGTCACCTGTTTGGAACAGCAAACTAGTGAGATACTAGATGGTGAAAGCCACAACCAGTTAGTTCAAGGGCTAGTGGCTAGTGCAGCTGACATGGGTAACTCCAAAGAATTCTGATGCTGACCATCCCAGGTCATGCACGGAATCGACACATGTGGAACCTTCGTCATGGTCCAGTGTTTCAGTTCAAGGACTCAGTTCATGTTCGTTCTACTTGGAGGGTCGGATGTCTTCAATTGTCTGCGCACTTTCCTCTCCATCAACAGCCAGGGTACCATGGATGGATCCATATTCATCATCTCCCTGAGGATTCGTTCTGCTGTCTGCCTTCAGGGCGTTCGCAGCGTTCGTGGCGTTAGTTGTGGAAGCAGGGTTCTACAGACCAGCTCTACGAACAGTAGGGAAGAAATCCTGCAGCAGTTGACATGAGGACTGCAATGACCACAACTACGACATTGTTTATACACAGAGCTTGGAAGAGCTCGCCGGGAGCTCGGGAAGTTCGGCAAGACGGGTCTTCTGGGTTGGGAGTGCTTCCAAACAAGAAGGCCACCCGGGCCAATTGGGGCTTTCCAGAGACTGGTCTCACATATTGATTTTACGAGACAAACAAGGAAAGGGGACCAGAAGACTCTTGAATCACTGGAAAACGGCTCGGAAACATACATACATGTTCAACCTGTGAACTTTGTTGACCCTAAATGAGGCACAAAACATGCACAACGGACGCACTGCACCGGCCTGGCATTCTCATGGGGCTCCTGCCAACCCGATCCGCAAACGAACTCAACACGTCATGCCCTCCAGTTGATGGAAGAGATTCTCAAAAACTTAAGATCAATAATGTCCCTCTACTTCTGACTGGTGCTTAGCAGGGAATAAGGGAATGATCTTCCAATACAGATTACTTATGATCCATTCCCTCATTCGCTAGTCAGCACCAGTCAGACTTGTAGGACTTCCTCTACTTCTACAATTTGTACAGTATCATCTCCTGTGGGTTCCAGTATGCTATCCTGAAAACAATATGCCATCCGACCAACTTCAAAAGCCTTCCTCTGGCTCTAATCGTTTCTTCACACCTCCGGGTCCAAGGACCAACTCGGAGGCCAAGCGCATCGTAAAGGACCAACTCCGTTGGGGACCCCACCTGCCTTGTATCCCCTGTTTTTGGACAGCTTTCTCTGGACAAGCCAAAGGCAAGCAAAGAAAGGCCATGATCTTCTCAAATCTCGCCCAAACCTGACCATCTACAGAACTGCACCGGCTCCCAACCACACCCCGCGGTCACGCGGTCGACGTTGACGTCGTTCGCCCGTGAGGTCCTTCTTGGTTCCAGGCAGTCGGTCGATCTCGCGCTCACGTTGATCGGCAAACTTCTCCTGCAGTCGGATCTGAGCTTAGACGAAGCAATGAGCACCATCAAGAGCGACTGGAGAGCGAATGAACAAGCATCTTTCCTGGCCCACCAAACCATGTGTCCAAACCTTCGAACCAGCATCGGAACATGTAGGCTTGCCTTGTGGCACTTGTTGGCAATGAGGCAACCCATTCTTGTGTAACACCCGCGTCATACAAGGCTTCGGCCAATACCCCCTCTCTCAAACACATTTCTTCACAGATTGAAAAGCCAAATCCTGCACCCCTCGGAAACCATTGCAGCCCGGTGTCCACACGTGAATTCAGCGCAGGTAGCACAAAAGCTTGTCTGCAGAAAAAGGTAATCAGGTGTCTTCAAATGAGCCTCCACCAAAAACCTCATCCCGGCTATACAATGGAAGGCTTCATCTTGAAACATGTTCATGGCGATTCTCTTCATTGTAGATTGTAGATCAATGATCGTCTCCCCACACCACTGAGGGTGGCTCACCGCAGTCTCCTTTTGGTCGCGCAAAACTGACAAGCCCTCACAGACTCATGCAGAATCTGCCGAAAATTCCAGTTCTGACCCAAAGAAGTCACGTCGTCAAGACCTAAATTCCAGTCCTTCCAGGGAAAACATCTTTCATTTGAACACTCCAGTTCCAGTTGGCCCACTACAGTTGGATTCCCATGAGTTCTCCGCCCCTCCCACACCACCGTCCGCCGGAGTTCCTCGCCTTGAACTCGACCAGGAGACGCGAGCCATCCGCCGGGCGCAACTTCCTCCGTCGTGAGCCCCGCGCGGAGAACGTGGTGCCATGGCCCAAGTGGAGGGCCCCACCGTCGGCCGAACCAACGGAGCGCTTGCTACGCAGACGCTCGGGGCTCCCCGAATTTTGTGGTCCACGGAAGGTTGCATCTTCACAGCTTGGATGGTGCCTTTGTTTTTGAGGTTGGCCGAACCCTGTGGTGAGGTCGTTGGGCGAAAGTTTGGAAAAAAACAAGTGGTGTAAGACTGTAAGACCAACAAACCAGGTGGGAACCGGTCGTTAAGGATGGGCCCTCGTTGGGTCGAGATGAGCACAGTTCCCGGTGGCGCTCTGGGGAGCCCAAGCAGAACCACAATGTCCACCACTCGCACCTCAGCTGAAAGAGAGGAATCAGCTGAAACAGAGGTTCTTAACTGGGCGAAAAAGGTGCAGCATGCGCCTATGAGATGCCGGAGCAAACAGTCGGCAGACCCTGACTAACGGTGGGCTTGTTCGCAGATTCGGGTCCGGCCAATCCTGCAAAAGGCCGGATCGAAGGCCATGACGTCGGCTGTTTTTGGCCACCTCCCACGTCTCGGGTCATGGCCAACTTCTTGTGCTGCTGTGCATCTAACATGAGCCTCCCAGCCGAGCACTTGTGGATGTTTCAAGAATGCCGTCGCTAAGGGAATCCGAACTTGAGCCACCGGAAGAAGAGTCTTTCCACCGAGACTGCCTAAGCTGATGGGCCTGCTCTAAAACCCCACCAGTTGCAAAAGAAACTATAAGTTGCCTCGGCGACCCATTTCAAAGAGGTGCAACAACAACTTTTAGGTCTCGAACTTGGCCAGTCCTTCCAACTGTCACTCGTCCAAAATGTCTCCCATGGTCAAAAGTGTCTCCCAGACCATGAAACACAACCAGCCAATCGCTCGACCGCAGAACAACCTCCCGCCTGGATGCTCCAGTCTCCACCTCCTTGGCCAGCTGTTCGATGTCCTTGGCCTAGCGACCACGACGCGTGGCGCCGCCCCATTCGACCCCAGCGGAGGGTGGGATGTGAGGCTGAAGACATCGGTTTCTTTTCAAGCCCTTTTCCCCAATCAAGGCACTTGGGAAGACTCTTGCATCAGGACTAGGCATATCGTTGCATTGACAATCAAAAAGGCACTATCAGAATCAACGCGCCCCACCTGACTGACCTTTCTGTTCTGCTTCGAATGATAAAACAATGCTTTTTGTGAGTCATCACGAGTGATGTCTGACATGTCCAAGCCAAGAGTGCTTGCCTCGTTGCTATGGAGGAATGGAACACATCCAATCAACCAACTACAGTAGTTTTGCTGATGCTCGCACATGGCAAGAACCTTTCCCCACAAAGCTCCCTTGCTAAAGCCGTGAGTGGAGTTGCATTCAATGCATTGGCTTGAGGAGAATTTGCAGGAAACTGCCGTATTCACACCAAAGCTTTCCTGAAAATTACCCTGAACCAATACTGAGATGCATGGTGGTCCCAAAACCAAACAACAAAACTGCTGAAGGGAAGCTAAGCACCCACCAACAAATCATCCCATCTTGCAGGGGAGCATCAGCTAAGACTCATTTGCGTCATCCGCTTCATTTGGCTGCTTTCCACAGATCATCCAATCTTCCCCACCCTCCTGATGCCTTGCCAACGCCAAACTGATTGGGATCGATGTTATGCCTTGCCGCCCGGAAAAAGGGGGAAACCGTTGGAACATAGATAGAAACTCGGCTCCCATGTTCTCTGCAAACGGGTCACAAAAAAGACGATAGTCGAGCCACCCACGTCTGGTTGGTCGCAAACCGCCAAACGTTTCTTTAAGGAAGTGGTTTCTCCACCATCTGCTGTCGCATCGAGGGAAATGGAGTGACTGAGTCAAAGCACCTTTTTTGCTTAGGAAGTGCCTTGTTGGCCAATGTTAGCTAGATGAAACACCCTCCAGATAATCTTTCTTGGGAAGTTCTGTTGGGGATCCCAGTGTCACATACGTTCACAAAAAGGCTGTGCTCCTCATCTTTGTGGTTTAAATGGACTATACCGAATCGACCAAGAGTGAGTTGGATGATTTGAGAATGAATTTGAATCGATGACGGAAAGCAATTCCCAGCCACTGATGTGATTGCATCTCTAAGCCAACCCAGAGGAATCAGCAAAATGCATGTTCATCCACCTTCATAGCTACTGTCGCCTGCTACCTTCATATTCAATAGACTCAACGCTTCACTCGGAAGGACCCATGTGGACCACTCGGAAGGACCATGGTGCATCTTGACCTCTGTGGCCCATTCTTCATGCCTAGTTCATTCCCATTTCTTCTTTTCTGGGAGTCGTGAAAGACCCAAGACGAAGGGCACTGCCCTCTTCTGGCTAAGGCTGGCTTTTGCAGCCTCCATCCTTCACCGAGGAGAACAACCTTCTCCTCGGTGAAGCATGGGCAAAATTTATAAAAGCAATCTGCATATATATAAGAGATTGGTGGTAGGACCACAGGCCAGCCGTTTGGCTGTCATGCTCCTCGCCTATCGAAACCAAGAGTAAAGCGCCCCCTCCCTCAACCACCCCGCAATCGCATCACGAGAGCAAGAGCAAGCTCGGCCGGTTCAGCCGGAAGCGCTGCACGCTCTCAGGCACCGCGAAGCTGCCGCCCGTCACCAAGGTGGCCGCCATCTCGCCGATGGCCGGACCAAACTTGAAGCCTTCGCCCGCAAAGCCGCAGACCTCGATGCGCGAGGAGCGGCTCGAGCAGATCGAGTGATGAGGTGTTCGGTCGAAAGAAAGACCAGGTGAGCTTGATCACTTTGGATCCCAAAGAATCTCTTCCCAAGTCTCCATTCTGCTGCAGGATCTGATCCGAAATGCACAGAAACGCAATCATTTGATGGCAGACAACCTGTGTTGTGAAGATCTTACATATACCTAGAACCTCGTTAGGCAATAATTTCCGCCCAACGCCATTTAGGCAGAAAATTCAGCCCGTTTTTGCAAAGAACGCCTAAGCTGCAGCCTCGAGGGTCAAAAACGCCGAGGCACAATCACATGCATTCTTACATGCAGGAGGCAGAGCCAGAATTTGAATGACAAAAATTGAGAAAACAAACGCCTGCCACTTGACGCTAATCCCCAGTCAAAGTTATTGAAACTCATGTCGCTCACTCCCCCAAGAAGATCCAAAAAGGCTACCATTCCGTTGTCCGCCCAACTATTGATTGTAGTGAGGGGGGAACGGGCAAGAACGCCTAAGTAACGGGCAAGAACGCCCAAGTAACGGGTAAGAACGCCTAAGTGACGGGAAGAACACCTACGCAAAAAGATATTAAAGCAATGAATCAAAGCATAGAAAAACTAAAAACATACAAAAGAGATCACAAGAGAAACAATAAGTGAATTCCTGACAAACAAATGTGCCTCACTATGAAAGTTCCTGGAATCAGTGGTGGGTGGATCCTCATCTATTTGAGCAATGCCACCAAAAGGACAAGAACGCCCAAGGGGGCAAGAACGCCTACAGGGGGCAAGAACGCCTAAGCACGGGCAAAGTCGCCTTTACCCATAATAGGCAGAAATTTCTGCCCAAGAAGAGGTTATAGGTATAACTGACTCAAAGGAGCGCAACATATGTGCTGGATTGTGATTCAGGCATCTTTCTTCGTTGCAAGCGGCCACAATAATGTCTGGATCTTCGGGATGCACTCCGACCACAAAGTCCTGCCAGTTTGGGCAGTTTAGGGGCTTGTGACAGTCTTCTGCCTTCAATCCACCATGGTTTGGCCCAATTTTGTTGGTGTCATCCCCCAACCAAAACTGGACCGAGATCGGATTGCCGGAAGGTCTTACAGCGATCGGAAGGTGGGAGGAACTCGCCCTCGAACTCGCCCCGAGCGGTCAGTGCGTCTCGACTGGCCAGTCCCATTGCCACATGTGTGACACATGCCCCTGAGATTTCTTTGCTGCTGAAGGCCAAAGATGTGATACAGAAGCCCAGCCGCGCTGCTGAACCCAAAGCCCAGAGTATGCAGTATGCCAGTCAACATCTTCACTCCTCATCAGCGTAGAGGTGTTGATCATAGGGGCATCGCATGGTGAGCTCGGACTTTTCCTCAGGCATCAAGCGCAACACAACAAGCAGCCAATATCAGCCAATCAGCAGGCCTCGCTTGCCCGCTGACACACCTACACATGTGTCTGCAGCATGAAACCTGTAGCCCGCAACCATTGCCCTCGGTTTTGGTCACCCCAAGTGGTTCAACCTAACTAGTCCTGTTCATGTGGGGAATCCCAGAACTAAGCACGATCGGTCCAGTCGACCAAGTCGTCCTCTTTGCTCTCCGGATGTTCAGAGTGTCTCAGCTGTCCCAGCTTGGTCCTCTCCCCGTGACGGGTCAAAACCCGGAGCTCCTAAGCAGCTTGCAGGTTGACCTGGCTGGTAGGTCAACCAAGGTCTGGCTTTGACCCACATCCCATATACTAGAATGGCATAGCGTTGTTCACTCTTGAGCACCTATACAACCTACGATCCTGTCGAATCCAGCCGAATCCCCACTTCACTGCAGGTACAGAACGTGTTGGTCAAGAAACTCCTTGAAAGAAATCAACTTCATGAAAGCATCCCTCTTTTGCACACAGGACGCAGTGTGAGAAAGCATCCATCCGTGGTCCCCCTACGGCGTCAGTGCGATCCCAGGCGTCGATGCTCAGATCTGGCAAGATCCGTCGCGCAAAAGCGTCCGTCTCCTCTCGGAGATGAGAATCCTCCTCCTCTGGCCACCTGCGCCATGCGGGCGACTGAGGAGGCTCCTGCAGCCCCGGAGTTGGGTGGAGTGGATCCTCAAAAAGACCCAGTGGGCATTTGAGATCCACACAGCTTTGAAACGCTTCCAATGTCTGGCTTGCGGAAAAAATAGAAAACCACTTTCCTCTACGAGTTTTCCTGATTTTCCACTTCAGGGAGGCGGGTTTGCAAACACCTAGTCTATGGTGGTGGGCAACATGTCATGCTAATGGCTCAAAAATGAAAACTGCAATAAGTGTCTTTTGCTTTCTCAGCCACATCTTCAAGTGAAGGTGCTGGCACCCTTCACCACACTGCAAAAATGACAGACCCCTAAATTTTAAATCCCAGCTGCAAAGAGCACAAGCTCATCCCCAATAGCTTTCTTCCTAAAACCTTTCGAGGGCCAACCCCCCTGGGCCTCACCCCCTCGTTCGGTGGCCGCCTTTGGGACCAGAGGCGCTCCGCACGTGTGCCAGCGCAGGCAAAGTAGCGCTGCGCCGCGGCAAAGGCGCCCGGCACCATGGGGAAGTCCTGCCAGTTCACAGTGCCAGTTCACGGCGGTTCAGGTCGAGGGAATGGTCGACATGCTCGCCTTCGAGTGAGATTGTCGACCCCCACCAAGAGTTGCAGGTCGGTGGCATCGGAAGATGCTGGGGACCACACCACAAGCATAAGGGATCTTTGGATTGTATCGAGTGACCCTTTTGGTTGGGTGAGTGTGCAGTTGTCCACCCCCCAAGGAAGCCAGCACACCCAGATTTGGAACCGCTTGCTCGCACCTCATGATCCATCAGTGGGCCTTGCCGATGCATGCCAAACTTGACGCCATCCACCTCAGAAGACTCACGAGTGATGTGCTCTGCGGAACACGATCGCGAGTTCCAGCGGAAACTTCACGCGAGTTCCGCGTCCCGCGAGGTCCGATGGAAAGGACCTGGAGTGAAACAGCGCAGACCCCACCGGGTGTTATTTTCGATCGAGGTACACCATTCGACACATGAGGGATCATGTAACCTCCTCTGCGCTTCATCTCCGGCTCTGGTGAAGGGTTGTGCTCAAGGACCACTGGTAGCTTGCCAGCACTAAAGAGCTCCTCTGTCCCTCGGAAAGACGGAGGTCAGCCAGGCGATCGATGCAATCCATGCAACCGAAAAGACTGAAAGAGATCTTGAAGCCCTTGTGAGGGAGCAAACACGCTGATTCATGTGTTTCACAAAAGAACCTCAGGAGTGCAAGAGTGGCTCCAATCTGGGGCTCTAAGATAGTCTGGGGTTATGAGTGGCAGGAAGCTTTTCCATGTTGCACAGAGAATCTTTTTCTGCAAATAGTTACCAGGCAAGTATCTTTCACTGCACGTTCCATAGTTACAGGCTGGTATCGTCTCTGATTACCAGGTCATTCTATCTTTTTTTTCTCATACACTCCACGCCTTCCGGAGTAGCGTAGTACGTTTGTTGCTCGACGCTGGTCACCAAAGGCAACAACGGAAGACCCATCCTGAGTGCTTAGCTTGGTCAAGCCAAGCAAAAACCTAGCAACCCATACCAACCTTGACCTCCCACATCTTCTTAAGTTTCTCATCCAACCACAAGCGGTACAAGACTGACTAGCTTGGCCAAGCATCAAGCTTAAGATCTGATTGCTCCAAATGCCACCCTCGGATATGGTGGCTTGGGAGGTCTACCGAAGAAGTTGCCAACAACAAATCCCACTCTGCAAGCGCGGAAAGGGTGTCCCCCCCAGTACCACTCTTGGATGTTTGGGCTCTAAATAGGAGGGCTAGTAGCTTCTTATTACTAGTAGCAATGAATAATGGCCTCCCACCTACTAGCAATGGCCTCCCACCTAATAGCGATTGCCTCCCACCTAATAGACATGGCCTCCCACCTGATAGCAATGGCCTCCCACCTAATAGCGATGGCGTCCCACCAATAGACATGGCCTCCCACCTAATAGACATGGCCTCCCACCTAATAGCGAT